TCCTACTTAGGACAGCATACTGCATGTAATCATTATGTCTCCTTAGGCTCCTCTTAGCTGTTTCTTCAACATTTTCCTTTTCCTTGATAACTGCAGTCAGGTATTTTGTAGAATATCCTCACAATCGGATCATTCTTGTATTTTTTTGAGTAGAGTAGGGCAACAAGTTTAAAGTTCACACTCCTTCAAGAATGAAAAAATGGCATCACTGATGACGATGAACTTGATCCTCTGGCTGAAGGGTGTTTGCCAGGTTTCTCCACTATGTGAAGCCACATTAAAAGAATGGGAAGTAGCCAGGCATTGGTGGCTGTCGCATGCCTTTACTCCCAGACCTCAGGAGGCAGAGTCAGGCGGATCTCTGTGATTCCAGGCCAGCCTGGTCTACAGAACGAGTTCCAGGACAGCCTCCAAAACAATACAGAGAAACCCTGTCTTGAAAAACCAAAACCAAAACCAAACCAAACAACCAAAACCAAAACTAAAACAAAAAAAGAATGGGAAGTAACTATCTACATCCTTCAGTGGAGTATCTACATAAATCATTCAGTAGTCTTGTGTTCTGGAGACTGAATTGACTTAATAAGTTCTGGTGTACATTCAACATAGTAGAATATCTGAAACACACTCAAACCTATTCAGCACCTTCTGCCATATTTTATTAGTTATGTACCACACTGTTCTGTCTACTTATAATACTGTTCTACCTCTACCCACCTACACACAAAACAGCAAAATAAAATCCTTTTATTCTTCCTCAAAAGCCCAGTCCTAGTATTCACTCTTCACTGTGGAGCTTCCTTTCAGGAAGAACTGAATACTTTATGATAGATAAACATTTAATAACAGTACTACTGCCCATGTATGAGTCTCAAGTAGACTAAAAGTTCTCAGCATGCAAACACCATGTCTTACATAACAAGGCAGCACGTAAAAGTACATTTGATGATCGGACTTCAAGCCCAGGAACCCACAAAAAAGTGGACTCTTTAAAGCTGGGCTCTAACCTCCACAAATGTGTTGTGCCATGTGTCCACATACACACATATGTGTGATAAATTTTTTAAAAATTCAAAAATAATACAGAACGAAATAATGGAAAGAACACATCCCATAACTTAAGAATTATCTATGATTTACCTACTGACTGCTTTATCTCTTTTTGGCAGGAAAAAAGAATCTTCCTCAGCTCAAGCAATCAAAATCTGCAGTTCCCAACTCTGGAATAATATATAATCTCTGAACATAAGCATCTCTCCAGGAACAAGTCCAGAAAACACTCACAGTTCTAGAGATTCTCTTCATGAGGAATACCATGCTCCAAGAAGCCGTCCCTTCCCTAGGCCCACTCTAAAGCATCTTTGTTTTCTATTTCCCCTCAAGAAGTCTTGTCCTTCCAAGTCCTCAACTACGTATTCCACTCTCTGGATCAGTGATTCCATTTCCAAGACAATACAAAGAAAAGCTAAAATCACTTGCTTTCCTCTAAATGTTTGTCACCCCACAACACCCACCACCAAGTAGGAGCAGGATCTAGCCTGAGCTCAGATATGATAGCACACTGATTCCTAGCTTCCATCAAGCTTGCAAATCTGATGGCCCTTTTATATTTCCACTGTTCCTTCCACTCATTCTTTTCTTTTCTTAAGCAAGCACAGCCTTCTCCAGTCTTAAAAAATGGTTTTAAGCTGGGCATGGTAGTGCATACCTTTAATCCCAACAATATGAGGTAGAGGCAGCTGGATCTCTGAGTTTGAGGCCAGCCTGGTATATAGATCAAGTTCCAGGACTACATAGAGAGATCCTGTTTTAAGAAACAAAAAGAGTTGGATGGTGTTGGTGCATGCCTTTAGTCCCAGTGCTTGGGAGGCAGAGGCAGGTGGCTCACTGGGTTCTACACAGCCTGGCCTACACAGTGGGTTCCAGAACAGCCAGAGTTTACACATAGAAAACCTATCTTGAAAACAAAACAAAACAAAACAAAAAACAAGAGGGGAAGAGGAGAGGGGACAGAACAGAGAGGGGAGAGGGAGAAAGAGAAGAAACAAAAACAAACTATCAAAAACTTTTAAAGCTTTTTAAGTTTTACAACTTCTGTTACAGGAATTTTTATATATGTATAAAGTAAATGTGAATGAATTTCAACATAGCCATCCTCAAGCTCCAATAGCTGTCCACAGTCTGATATTCTTGTCTCATCTATACCTCAACTCATCTGTCACCATATTTAATGACTACTTTGGGGGGGGTTGTTATGTTTTTTTGAGACAGGGTTTCTCTGTGTTACTCTGTTCTGGAACTCACTCTGTAGACCGGGCTGGCCTCAAACTCATGGAAATCTACCTGCCTCTGATTCTCAAGTGCTGGGATTAAAGGCATGTGCCACCACCGCCTGGCTTCAATAACTATTACTTTACAATTTTACTGGATAAAGTTGCAATTTTTATTATCATTGTAAATTACACCACTCTATCAAACACAGCATCTCCATCATTTCTTGTAGGTTTTTCTTGACTTTTCTCTTTAATAAGTCTTTTACTATTGTTTTTATAGATGGGTTCTGCTAGGCTGTCCTCAAACTTCTGGACTCAGTGTTAGGATTACAGGCATCTTTCACAGTGATGTACCCTGTCACTATTTCTGTTTGTCTTCTGAGACAAGGTCTTGCTATGTAGCTGAGATTACCAAGAAACTTCTATGTAGTCCAGGCTGGCATCAAACTCACAACACTACCTCATCCTCCCAAGTGCTGGAATTACAGGTGTAAACCACCATACTAGCTTTTATCACTTCTTTAAAAAAAATATCCAGGACTGGAGATGTAGCTCAATTTGTAGGGTGAATGCCTAGCACTAAGGAAGCTCTGGGTTTTATCTCCAGTACCACAGAAACCAAATGTGCCTACAATGCCAGCACTGGAGACAGGAGAATCATGGCTCTCCAGCAGTCTCCAGGTAACTAGACTGACCTTTCAAACACTCATGGTAGATTGGTCCTGCCAAAGGGAACAATTTACAAGGCTGCCCAGTTCAGAGAATAGGTCCACATGTAGCCTTTGAGGAGCACAGTTTCTACACCCTTTTCTAATCTGCTATCACACCAGGCCACCTGGGCATCTGATAGTTCCTGGAACAGGCTGGGGGCCTCTGTAGACCTTTCTTCTGTCTAGAACACTGCTCTCCTCACTATTCACATAGCTGGCGTCCTGGTCCTGTGGTTAATATCTTGTCTCAGAGGCCTTCCTCAATAGTCAAAGCTCCTGTTCCTAGGCCCCTTTTAATCTATGCTTTATTTTCCATTTTCACAATACTTATAGTGGTTATAATTACTATCTTTATTTTTATTTGCCTTTCTTAAGAAAGTGGCCATCGTGAGATTAACCACTCCCTGCTATATCACCTTTTAACAAATGACTAAAAATTATTTATTGAGGGGCAGGAGAGGTGGCTCAGTGGCTAAGAACACTCATTAGTCTTACAGAGATCGCAGGATTGGTTCCTAGCACCCACATGGTGGTTCACAACCAGTTCAGTTCCAGTTCCAGGAGTTCCTACACTCTCTTCTGACCTGCTTATGCACCAGACACACTAGGAGTGCACATACATGCATGCAGGCAAAACATTAAAAGTATAATTATTGAAAAAAGAAATAGAAGCTAGATAATGATGGGTTACACCTTTAATCTTAGCACTCAGGAGGCAGAGGTGGGCAGATCTCTGTGAATTTGAGGCTAGTCTGGTCTACAGAGCAAGTTCTAGGATAGCCAGAGTTACACAGAGAAACCGTTTCTCAAAAAAAAAAAAAAAAAACCAAAACAACAACAAAAGAAATAGATTTAGCTCAAACCACATCTTATAGAAAATGTTCCACTTATCCTCAGAACCTGCTTTCTATTCACAGATATCCATAAGTTAAGTTAACATAGTACTGTGACAAAGTCCTACATTAACAAAAACATCATTACAAATATAAGATTTTATATAAAAAGCAAGACAGGGAGATAAAATGTTTTAATTAAAAGGACTGCTGAAGATGAAATTAAAATCCAATTTCATTTTTTGTTAGAGGCAAGGGCTTGCTATGCAGGCCTGCATGGCTTGCTATTCACTTGATAGCCCAGGCAATCTTCCTGTCTCAGCATCCTAAGTAGATTAGAAGCTTGAGTCTCCATGCCCAGCTTTGTTCTCTTATTTTTGGTCTGATTTTGAACTACACCTTTAAGTAACTAAAACCCAAGAAAGTCAATCTTTCCTTGCCTCATATATTTCTGGTTTGTTTCAAATTTCACAAGTATATACAACTTTCAGAAAACAATTTACAATACAATACTAGTATTCTAAGAAAGAATTACAACCATCACCCAACCTTGTGTAGGAGGCTAAGGTTTTAGGATCACAAATTCAAGGCTTGCCTAGACTGCCAAGTAGGTCCAAGGCTAGCCTAGGAAACTTATGTAGACACTGTCTCAAAATAAAAAAAAGTAAAAAATAGGAGTATAGCTCAGAGGCAGAGTACTTGCCTAACATCAGTCAGGCCTTGGGTTTAGTCCATAGTAGCCCGTCTCCCCCCCCCACACACACACACAGAGGCATGCACAAATGCACAGAAGTCAATCAATCCATCAATTTGGTAAAATTTCTTTTTTTTAAGATTTTATTCATTTATTAAGTATACAACATTCTGCTTTCATGTATATCTGCACACCAGAAGAGGGCACCAGATCTCATAACAGATGGTTGTGAGCTACCATGTGGTTGCTGGGAATTGAACTCAGGACCTCTGAAAGAACAGCCAGTACTCTTAACCTCTGAGCCATCTCTCCAGCCCGGTAAAAATTTGTTTTTACATTGTCATGTAGCATAATGAAGTATACTGAGAAGAAAGATCTCATCAATCTGATTTCTCAATTCACCCAAAATGAACACCCACTCAGTCCATCCACTGCCACTAACTGTTTAATTTCTACTCCAGCTGTTTCCCCTGTTGAGTGATGTACTGACCTTGGAACAGCTTTCTTCCTCTACTTCTCCCTCATTGGTTTGCATGGGAACAGACTCTGTGCAAAACTCTGCAGAAACACAGACACTGCCTGGAAGGTAAAAGAGAAAAACACATGTAAAGACTTCAAGGTAAAAGTTTGCTTTTTCAAATATTTAGATGGAAATCTGTCGTGGAGATTCTGGATGATGTGAAGCAATGACTTTAACCAAGTGTACTTCTCAGTGTGAATATATGTATGGTGAGGCATCCTCCTTGGGAAAAGGTAGAGTGGAAATCTTCTCCATCTTGAAGGACAGTTGGAAAAGGTTCAAGACAATGGGTTACTAATAGCTTTATATTTCTTGACCTATTTGCTAGACTTCTGGCAAAGGTGATATAGAAAATTTCAATGACACTTACAATAGACACCTGCCAGAAAGGATGCCAATGAGCAAAGAGGTGATACCACACTGGGTTTACCTTCCTGAGTATTACACTACTGAAACTGGCTGTCTTTCTTGGGTTATAGCTATGTTGAACATCCTAGGCTTTTGTAACTGATGTACTTTATCATTTTGTGTACCTTCTAAAGGAAATATGCCTAAGAAACTAAATGTCAGCTCATTCATTTTTACACAAATTGGCTATCTATAGATTACAATAAAAGTAGTCTAATAAAAGTTTTCTCTAATAGTAAGAGCTAAAGGCCAGTGACATGAAATATCATGCATGTGCTGGGAGCAGAACTTGGATCCCTGTAAAAGCAGTAAGTACACTTAACTGCTGAGTCACTGCTCAAGCCCTCAAAGCTAACTTTTAAAGTTTCCTTTTGACACTTTCTATTTTTGCAAATTTCTCAAAACTGCCTGTCATCCATCCTAGTCACATTCTTCCTCTTTCTTCTTCCTCTTCTTTTGTTTGTTTGTTTGTTTGTTTGAGACAGCCCTAGCTATCCTGGAACTAGCTGTGTAGACCAGGCTGACCTTGAACTCACAAAGATATGCCCACCTCTGCTAACACATGTGCCACCACTGCCCACAGCTTAGTCTTTTCTTTTTAAACCTAGAGTTCCCATATAAAAGAACATATGCAATATTTATCTTAAAATCTGGCTTATATTTTAATGAATCCAAATATGCAATTATTAAGAAATAATCAGTCAAACCAAAAGGAGCATTGTGACTGACCATTACAATGGATGCAAGTGACCACTACAACTGACAATCACAACAAACACTATAATTGACCAACACAGTGACTATGGCAATGACCAATATGGCTGATCACATCAATGTTCACCACAGTGAATACTAAAACTAGCCACCACAGTCAGCGCTAAGATGACCATCACAGTGAAAAATGTGAGTGACCACTACAGTGATAACAGTAGCCACTACAGCTGACCACACCAATGATCACCACAGTGACCACTGTGACTGGCCATTACAGGAAACACTATAACTGACCACCACAGTTACCATTGTGGCTGACCATCACAGTGAACACTACAAGTGACCCCCACAGTGACCAGTATGACTGACCCTCAGAGTGAACACTACAACTGACCACCACAGTGTGTATGGCAGTGACCACTTACAGATGACTACATGATCATCAGTGTCCACTATGACTAACCATCACAGTGGGCACTATCACTGACCACCACAATGACTACTATGACTGACCACTACAGTGTACACTACAACTGACCACCAAAGTACCCATGGCCATTACTATTATGGCTGACAATCACAGTGGACACAACTGAACAGCACAATGACCACTAAGTGACAGTTAAAAGATGATCATAATGCATGCTTCTATGCAGAGAAAGTCTTTGGGAATGTACCCAGCCCTCGATATCTACTCTGGTGCAGGCCTCTCTATAGCCAAGTCATAAGACCTGAAGCCAAGAAGGGACTTCTACATTTTAACATTGGTTATGAGACAAAGGGGTATCAAAATTCTGTGCTCACTAATAAAGTTTTTAAGGAACAAATGTATATTTATGTAATGAGAAATGCAAAACTGGCATAGTAGTAGCTGTCACTCAACCTCTATTCACTCGAGCCCAGATGAACTGTCTGTGCTCCCAAGTGAAACAAGCTTCCTGGAGTTGATCATGTCCTTCACTTTTTATGGCAGTTATGCATAAATAGAATTGTTCTTTCTATGAAAATTAAGTTGGTGGAGCTGGGAATTCAGCTCAGTTGGTACAGTGCTTGCCTAGCATTTTTGAGGCCGAGTTTGATCCCCAGTACCCTATAAAATTAGATGTGGTGTGTATAACTATAAAATGTAAGCACTTCAAAGACTGATCAGGAGGATGCTTTAAATTTGAAGTCAAACTGAGGGAGACAGGGCAAGGCCCTGCCTCAAAAGCAAAAGAGAAGGGAGGAGGAAGAGAAGAAAAAGTTGGCAACACCGGAAAAATTTAATAACCTATCCAGAAAGATGTGGCATGCACAGTGCTTCACAACTGTCTCCCTCTTGGTTAAAGTAAAGATCACAGTCATACACCATGTACCATCAGCATAACTCAGACCCTGCTTGCTTGGGTTTCCAGGCCTCTGTGGCTCACAGATGATGCTGTTTCTCTCCAACAGCTTCTAGATCCCTGCTTCCTTGGCAAGGGCTCTATCTCCAGCCTTTCTTTTACAAAACCTACTACATGTATGGGTATTTTGCTTCCATATGTCCACACATCATGTGTGGATCTGGTCTATCAGATTCCCTAGAATTATAATTATAGATGGTTATGAGCTGCAATGTAGGTGCTGAGAATTGAACCCTGGTCCTCTGAAAAGAGCAGCAAATATTCTTAACTGCTGAGCTATCTCTCCAGCCCCATCTAGGAGGTATTATCTTCACCTGCCCATCCCCGACAGGGTTTCTCTGTGTAACCCTGACTGTCCTAGAACTCCCTCTGTAGACCAGGCTGGCCTCTAACTCAAGAGTCTGCCCGCCAGTGCTGAGATTAAAGGTGGGAGCCACCACTAACCAGCTCTTCACCTCTTTTTTAAAAGATTATTTTATCTTACTTTATATGTTATAAATGTTTTGCCTGAATATATGTATATGTACCACATGTGTGACTGCTGTAGTCCCTGGAAATGGGGTTATAGATAGTTATGAGCCACTGAACCATCTCTCTAGCCCCTTCCTGAACCCTCTTATCTGCTGGCCACTGACTAGGCTCATGTGATACTCACTGACAGTAGACAGGAAGACTGGCAGTGGCTGAGCAGCTGTTCTATTACAAACTACTCATTCTTATCAGGTTAACTTCAGCTATAGTTTTACTACCTTAACCCTTTGGATTTGCCTACTTGGTCTTTTTTTTTTTTTCTAATATCTTGTTCTAGCCTGACTTGCTTGGCTTATCAGTCCCCTATTCTGTCAGTCACTGCTCTTTCCCTTCCCCATCCCCAGAAACACTCATCTGTCTTCCACCCTTCCTACTACCCTCTACCTTCAAGACTTTAACCTCAACTTTTGCCCCTATAATCACTTCTCAATCCATTATCTCTTCACAAGTTCTTTCCCATTCATCACAGCCCAATTGGGTCTGGTCTGGTCTGTTCCAGCCCTCAAATTTCTAACTTGTTAGAGTAGAAATGGCTAAAACAGACTAACAAAGAATACTGAATTACCCAGCAGCTGACAAAGGCAGACAACCTTACTGTTACTAAGCACAAAAGGGCAAGAGCAAGTGACATTCGGAGATAGCTGTGGCTATAACCACAGACTCAAACACTAATGCTTATTTATGTGTGACCTTGAGAAAATGACTGCTGTGACTGCACCTGGAAAGGAAGCCTTCCTCATCTTTCTGCACCACTTTACTTCTGTACCTGCCCCAGAACAGGTATAGAAACTTGCCTGAGAACTCCGAAAGACAAGATATGTGGCCTTCATCCTTTTTCTTCAAGCAGCAGCAGCCCAAGAAGCACGCATTCTCCTTGGTTCCTCATAAATGTGGGACACCTTCACAATTTCCCATAGAAGACAAAGTCAACTGAGGGTTGTTTGTTTGTTTGTGTTTTTTAAACTATGTAGCTGAGACTGGTCTTGAACTCCTGCTCCTCTTGCATTCATCTCCCAAAGTGCTGGGACTATAGGCATACACAAACACACCTACCAAGTCTGTTGAGTTCTGTGGTTTAGTACTAAGAAACTCTCTGCTCCATATATAGGTTTAGTAACAGAAGCGGCATCATGGCCCCTTGAATGACATCATCTTTTATCTTGTTTACTATCAGCAGAAGGACAGTGCCATTTCAACAACCCTAACCTCTGGAGTACTGAACTGAAATTTACTTTTATTTTTTTTCTGGTGTCCTTAGAGGTCAGGAGAGGGCATCAGATCCCCTGAGACTGGAGTTATAAATTGCCATGTGAGTGCTGAGAGTCAAACCTGAGTCCTCTGCAAGAACAACAAATGCCTTAACAACTGAGTCAACTTCCCAGCTCTGAGACTAAAATCTTGATAAAAAGACATGAACTAAAATTTTAGGGCATTTTATATGTGGGATTTTGAGGTTTCTGTTAAGCTGGGCTTCAGGGAGGCACAATGTGTTTTCTTGTACATTAGGCCAAGTGAGTGTTTATAGCTATACACTAGCTTTTAGCTACTGAGTCTTATAATCTAGAGGCCACCCAGCATTTTGACCTCAGCAGTGACTGTAGTTATGGCAACTTTGTCGTTAGGTAAGTGGCTGTTTCTATAGAGACAATGCTGCATGCATTAGGCTCAGAGCCTTAGCAAAAGCTTAGGGGTTTGTAGGTCTCACCAAGAATAAGCCACAGCTTGTCACAGTGGTTGGTGGTACTGAAAGCTCATATAAACTAAATGTCAGTTGTGCAGGTAGCCTCAGCATACACTGACCACTCTGGCCTAGCAAGCAAATGCCGGCTGTGCTGGCCTCAGCAAAGAGAACAGGGCATTAGCAGGCTTGGGTAGTTTCAGTGTAGAGAGATTGCTGTCTGACCTTGAATTATGCCTGCCCAGCTTTTCTTAAACCAGCATGGCTGAGGCAAAGATTAGATGGTGGACAAGAGACTTTCTTCACACACACCTTTTAGACAATTTGAGTGAGACAATTATTAGCTGCCTATAAGCTACAAGGCAGCTGAACTTCAAGCAGCACAGACATTACAAAGCCAGCAAAGTTCTATGTTTAAATTGTTTGTGCTAGACATACGTAGGTGTTTCACAGAGGAAATGGAAATGAAGATGTTTCTGACTGTAACTCTTGTGAGAGAGGAAGGAAGGGTCTGGGCATACCCTGGCAGACCCAGACCTACTGGTTAAGACCATTCCTCTGAGAGATAAAAGGGCATGCTAAAAAAAGAAAGCCCCTCCGCTGATACTCTTGATACTTTCTTCCTCATGATACAGTATCAATGTTTTAATAATAGAGATGCAAATCCTGACACAAGTTGTCAGGATGAAGTACTTATCTGATTAGTGTGTCTAGAAGAAATTCAACCTGGACTTGCAGGATCCAAATCCTCTGCTGCTCCTTTACCTTGCAGATATTCATTCTGCTCTATTCCCCACTCTTCGAAGAGGGAGTCTTACCTCAGACTAGGGCTGCCATCTCAATATACCTGTTAGGTCCTAGAGTTCAGAATAAGAGGCCTACTTGCCCTCGGACAGAAGCCAGCCCTCTATACTATACTCATAATGAAGGGAAATTGTAATCTCTACTTGTCTCACTCCTTTGCCCTATGTCTCTGTTAGTTCAGGACTTGGTAGGGGAAGTATTATTTACTGGATGCTCTTCTGTCCCAATTTATGTAATATTTACTTTCCAAATTAAGTTCACTATTCTGTGTAGTGATATTTTATTTGTAATCTAACAAAGCTTGCCTGAAGATCAGAATGTAGAGCTAAGCCACTAGTTAGCCACACACCTAGTTAAGAGCTAAATCACTAGTTAGCCATAGAGGACAGGCAGTGGTGGCCACCTGTAATCCCAGCACTCAGGAGACAGAGGCAGAAGTATCTCTGTGAGTTCAAGGCTACCCTGGACTGCATGACAGTGAATCAGTCTAAAAGAGAAACAGAGCTCACACCCTTGATCCCAGCCTTGGGATGTCACACCTTTAATCCCAGCACTAGAGAAAATATAAAGCAGGAGCTCAGTGCAGTCTAGGCAGGAGTTTGAGGATTCAAGGACACAGGATCACTCTTTCAATCTGAGGTAAAGGTAAGAGCTAGTGGCTAGCTGTTTTGTTTTTCTGATCTTCAGGTTTAACCCCAACATCTGTGTCTTTTTTTGTTTGTTTGTTTGTTTTTGTTTTTTCTCTGTGTTATAGTCCTAGCTGTTCTGGAACTTGCTTTGTAGACCAAGCTGACCTCGAGCTCCTATACAGACACCTGCCTCTACCTCCCGAGTTTTGGGATTAAAGGCATGTGCTGCCACCACCTGGTGATTTTTCTATTTTTATATATCTGTTAAAAACAAATAAACAAACAAACAAACAAACAAACATGCTGGGCGTGTTACCTTTAATCCCAGCACTCGGGAGGCAGAGGCAGGTGGATCTCTGTGAGTTCAGGTCTACAGAGTGAGTTCCAGGACAGCCTCCAAAGCTACACAGAGAAACCCTGTCTCGGAAAAAAAAACAAACAAAAAAACCCTTCAAAGTTTTTAAGAAGTTTATAGGCAAGACTACAGATGCTGAATAACATCAGGGTAAAACAATGGATAACTACTAGTGCAATAACAGCAGGCTTTTTCAACTCAGAAAGAAGGGACAGCAGGAGAGGTAAAGCAGCTGTGTCTCCTTCCTCTTCTAAATGCTGAAAGAAGGGAAAGAGCAGCAACCAAGACACAAAACCACAAAAAGAACCACTGCTTATCTAGGAAACAGGAAACAGTCTTATAGAAGAATAGGGACAACATGGGTGGTACAGAGTTTGCCTAGCATATGCAAAGCCTTAGGTTTGATGCCAGCGCCACCAAATAAGACAACTCAAGACAAGACTTACAGATAGAGATTCTTTATTAAACAATGCAGACTCAAAGACTGAAATTAAGTTTTGAAGGGTTCTATAGGCCCCAAGATGCCACAGGAGCAGATTCAGCAAAGTGACTTGTTAAATCTCCTTTAGAAGGCAAATGTGGGTTAGAGCAGTAAAGAATGCCCACTTAAATCTGTAATTCCTAATCCTAACAACTAACTTCTCAGTATGGGACCAAGAATCAAATCTCAGTATCAATATGAATGCCAGTGCATTTTGTGAGTGTGTGCATGTGTGGTGTTGGGGACACACTGTGGGTGTAAGGAATTGAAGCCAGGTCTTCTGGAAGAACAGCCAGTGCTCTTAAATGCTGAACCATCTCTCCAGTTTGTAAATAAAAATTTTTAAGCGAATGCAAGAAAGAAGCCTTCCCATACACTTTCCTTCTTTTTAAAATGAAGACCCTTGATTTACTGCTGATGATTTAAAAAAAAAAACAAAAAACAGGAAAACTTACTACCTTTGACAGTATCCTGGGGCAACACAAGCCTGAGACAATCAGTCCAGGTTACATTTAGTGCAAAAAGCCAAAACCCTGAAAAGAAAAAATGACAATGAACCACTCAGACAATGTAAGCTGTCCAGAGAAGCAGCAGAATAGGAAATTTCATCTGAGTTCACTCTTTTGTTTAGAGTTTGTGGACAGTGGCCTAACTTTGCAAACCTCTTACTCAAGGGTTCTTTCAAAGTTAAGTGAAAAAGAGTAAACTGTACTTATTACACAAGGTGCTGAACACCCGTTCAATAAAGGCCAAGTTGTAGTTAAAAATGTAGGGTAAAGGCTGGGGATGATGCTCCCTGGTGAAGTCCTGACCCAGAGTCTGAGGCTCTAGTAACACATGAAAACAACAATTTCTGAAGTGACATTAAAATCTGTTCAATCTTTACTACTTTCTTTTTAAACAAATTGAGTTTTTTTTATTACTACTGTGTGCATAATGTGTGTGTGTGTGTGTGAATGAGAAAAAGCATACAACAGTGTTCATGTGGAGGTAAGAGGACAGTTTTTAGAAATCAGTTCTCTCCTTCCACCTTGATATGGGTTCCAGATTAAACTCGGGTTGTTAGACAAGCACCTTTATGTCCTGAGCATCTCTGTTTTTGTTTGTTTGCTTGGTGATACTGTCTCCCCATATGACCCACAACAATGACCAGCATGGCATGATAACCCTAAGGGTTCAACAGTGGCATGTATACCAATAGCCCTGTAATTGATCTTAAGGCCTGCTCAACAAAAGGAAAAATCATGCCTGGTACTGAAAACCTAGCCAATTATCTGGCGCTAATGAAGTCATGGATCTTGGAGGAGAACCTACAACTGCATAATCCCTAACTACGTTCTAAATATTTTTCCTATTCCCACAGGTAAGTGTACCCTTCACTCCTCATCAAAGAAACTTTTCTTTGAAACTGATGGAGACCATTATTTAAAAAAAAAAATAACATAGCTAATCAAAATGCAGAGAACAAGACCTTATGTGATGCCCATTTCCAACTGATACAGCTACAACACAATTCTTACACCTAAGGCTCAGGGTTCATTTCACAAGAGGGGCTGGAAAAATTATAAGAGCCAAAGGAACAAAATTTCTCCTACAAATGTCAGAAAGGCTACATCCCTTAAGTCTCATTCATCAACATGAATGCCTAAACAATGACACCAATGATCATACTAACAGGGAGTGGGGAGTCTCAACCCTAGACAAAGAGCTATGGGCAACTGGTGAATGCTGAGAGTGGGACAAATGATCTTACCCTGGGAATAGCTCCATACAATACCAAGTGAACCACCCTGAGATCAACACATATGCAGTTAGCATTATATGTACTGAGCAGGTTGTAATTATCTATTTAGGAAAACACACACACACACACACACACCAATAATTAAAGACAAAAGAAGCCATGGATTTGAGATTAGGGGTGCATGCATAGAGGAGATTGATGGGGAAAAGAGATTGGAAGAATTATAATTTCAAAGAATAAAGAATATGTCTTTAAAAAGTAGTGTCTCCCTATATAGCCCAGGCTGGCCAAGAATTTGCAATCCTTACCAGGTAGTGGTGGCATAAACCTTTAAACCCAGAACTCGGGAAGCAGAAACAGACAGATCTCTGTGAGTTCAAGGCCAACCTAGTCTACTGATCGAGTTCCAGGTCAGCCTCCAAAGTTACAGAGAAACCCTGTCTCAAAAACCGAAACAACAAAGAATTCACAATCCTCCTGCTTCACTTTCCCTAGTGCTAAGATTATAGGCAAGCCACAAGGCACATTTTTTTTTTTTTCCGGAGACAGGTTTTCCTCGCTTTTCTGGCACTCACTCTGCAGATCAGGCTGGCCTCAGAGAGATCCACCTGCCTCTGCCTCCCAAATGCTGGGATTAAAAGCATGAGCAATATAAGCAAATCTTTTTTTGTTTGTTTGTTTTTGTTGTTGTTGTTGTTGTTTTTCAAGACAGGGTTTCTCTGTGTAGCTTTGGAGCCTGTCCTGGAACTCGCTCTGTAGACCAGGCTGGCCCCCCCCAATGCTGGGATTAAAGGTGTGTGCCACCAACACCCACCACAAGCAAATCTTTACTATTTCTTATTTTATTTGTTCTATCTACCTCAAAAATACCAAATTGCCCTTTCAATGTCTCCATCTGGATGTCTCATAATCACTAGACTCAACTTGACCCAAACTCTACCTCCACCCTTCCTAGACTACTCTCTTTCTTCACTGTCTATACCAAGGCCCTGATCAGAACCTAAGTTCATCTCAAGTAATCTCACCCCCAAGCCTCTCATACAAGTCCATCAGTATGCTTTCAATTTTTGCACCTCAGCTCCACCCATAATTCTTCATTTTCACTGTCATTATCTCTGCTTCCTCAAAGTCTCTGTTCCACTCTTGCTCCTCCCCAATCCACTGCTAAATAACAGTTGGTACAATCGCTTCAATTTAGCTCATTACCAGCAGCTAGTAAATGCAGTGGTGACTTTATTTTCTAATGACAAGTCTCTCTCCTGTTCAGAATGCACCTATTGGGTGTAGAGATGGGTAAAAACAAGGCCAGGCCAGGCTGCCAGAAAACTGTCTCCATCTAGAAGTTGTCTACTTTGTTTCACAACCAACCTTATGTTCTGTCTATGAGAGGACATGCCATTCCCCATGCTTATAGTGGTTATACACTATAAGGAATAGCCTTAGGTCCCCAGTATGTCACAACGGTTGAAGTGGTACTTTACTGAATGACCACATCTACCACCACTTCTGTTTCCATACCTCATACTGTTTGAATCAATACACCAATGGTATTACAAGCAGAATTAGGACTATCTTAATTACTCTCATGCTTCTGTTATACACACTGTTGTTAAACAATCTCAAAAGTAAATTTGACCTTTATGTATGCTGTGACTTAAAATGAGTAAGTATCCATTACCTTTAGTGCAGGTTTTTAAAAAAGAACTTATCAGACCCATTTCTCCACTGTGCATTCCAACTTGCATCTAGTCTCCTTGTCCACCACACATGAGCTAATTGCTGCTGGAGGTTCTTTGCTGATCCCCTTCCTCTCCATTGCCGCTGGTATCCTCTCCAGGACTTTTCCAGATCCTCCTCTGAGATACATTGTGTTACACTGGTAATACACATGTGTCTGTCTTCTTTTCCCAGCATGAGCTCCCTGACAGCAAAGATTAAGTTTTACATGTCTTTAATTTGGTGAGTAGATGGCTTTCACATGTGCTGAAATGAACCCCAACTGCATCCCTGGAGTTTAATGCATAATGTTGGCAGTTCCCCATCAAATGGCACTGAAGAAGTTAAAGGGGATGGCTGCACCTCCTCAGACAGATCTGGTCCTCCTGGAAGACCCAATGCTATATAGTTACATGTGACCCTTGGCACTTCAGAGAAGGGTCAGATTCTGAAGTTTGTTGTCAGCCTCTGATTATCAACAGAACAACACTGTCTCATTTTAGCTCTCTGTTCTGATTAAAGTTTCTGCCCAGACTGACCCATGACTTCTCTCTAGATCTATCATCAGTCCAAACTCTACACCAATGTCACAATGTAGCTCATTATTACATATGCTCTTGACAGACAACTTTAGGTGGAGATGGTAACCAACAAGATCCTTTGCCTGTTTCACTGTCATCTTGGACACTCGCTGACACTTATCAAGAACAAAAAGACACTGGGACAGGAACAGATGAGCACGGGAAACTAGGTAATTTTCCAGGTGCTTTCTTTTCCTTATAAGAGACAGGGCATCTTTGCACTCCTGGGCTCAAGTGACTGTGCCACCTCAGCCTCCCAAGTAGCTGACATTATCTGCGGGCTCTGCCATTCCTGGATTCTAGGTATTCTCCAACTGGGTTTCTCAAAAAAGCTTCCTGACTTATCTGTACTGAGTACATACATATTGAAGAAGAGCATAAACACTGATTCTAAAACTAACAGTTTAAGTTATCTACAGAAGTATTTCCCTTATAAGAGATGAATACCAGGAAAATGCCTTCAAACGACTATTTTGAAATGCTCAGAAGTAATCTTAACCCTACCACCTGGTCATGCATTGTCATGGTGGTAAGCTACCAACTACTACAGTTTCCTCTACTCTCTTAAGGAGCAACCAGAGAATCTGCAGACCTTGGACTCATCCATCCCCAGCAGGTCTTGTTAAATGAAATAGACTACAGTCAAGTATTTAACTAAACTCACAGGATATAATTACAGCTGAGAGTTTCCTAGGGAATATGGCAAGGTGAAAGACATATATATTCAACAAATGACACTTACTTTTCTAGTATCACCTCTGATGTGACAGGGTTTTAATTTTCAAACTTAACTATTCAGTGTGATTCAACTTAATTCTCATTTAAAAAATTCAAGCAGCACAGAAAAAGCCCGTCATCAGTCAGTCTCTCCCCTCACCATCCTTCTTAGTTCTTACTAAGTTCTTACTTAGTTCTTACTAAGAAGGATGGTGGCATCTGCATATATTTAGTGTAGCTCTTGAAATGCAGACTGTTAAGGAATATGCTATACTCCAGCACTAAAAACAAAGCAAATAAAAAGCACCTAAACAAAAACAACAAAATAAAACACTGCATTTTATTTTATTTATTTATTTATTTATTTATTTGGTTTTTCGAGACAGGGTGTCTCTCTGTGGGTTTGGAGACTGTCCTGGAACTAGCCCTTGTAGACCAGGCTGGTCTCGAACTCACAGACATCCTCTGTCTCTGCCTCCTAAGTGCTGGAATTAAAGGATTTGTGCACCACCAACGCCCAGTCGGCTTTTTGTTGTTGTTGTTTTTTGGAACACTGCAATTTTTTTGTTTGTTTTGTTTTTTCCAGACAGGATTTCTCTGTTTAGCTTTGGAGCCTGTCCTGGAACTCATGCTGTAGACCAGGCTGGGCTCAAACTCAAAGAGATCCACCTGCCTCTGCCTCCTAAGTGCTGGGATTAAAGATGGGCATCACCACCACCTGGCCACATTTTTGTTACTATATATTTTATTGATTTATTTTCTGAGACAGGGTCTCACATAATTCAGGCTGGCCCCACCTCCCTCTATAGGGGAGAATGACTTGAATTTCTGATCCCCCTGCTACTTCTAAAGTACTAAGGATGGAACCTAAGACTTCTTTTTTTGCTTTCTGAAACAGGGTTTCTTGGTATAGCCTTGGCTGTCCTAGAACTTGCTCTGTAGACCAGGCTGGCCTCAAACTAAGAGATCCCTGTATCTGCTTCCCAAGTACTGGGACTGAATCCAGGACTTTGTGCATATTAGACAAGCAATGCCTTATTTTTCTAAAGATTTTATTTATTATGTATACAACATTCTGCTTCCATGTATATCTGCACACCAGAAGAGGGCACCAGATCTCATAACAAATGACTGTGAGCCACCATGTGGTTGCTGGGAATTGAACTCAGGACCTCTGGAAGAGCAGTCAGTGCTCTTAATCTCTGAGCCATCTCTCTAGACCAAGCAATGCCTTATTATTGTGGATTTTTTGTTTTGTTTTGTTTTTGGTCGTTGTTTTGGGTTTTGGAGGGTTTTGTTTTTGCAGGGGTAGGGGTGTGAGAGACAGGGTCTTCCTATGTAGCTTAGGCTAACCTCAAATACCCTTGCTTTGTCCTTCCAATGACCAGGATTACAGGCCTGTGAAACCAAATGAGACACAAATGAACACTGAAAATTATGACTGCATACACTGATGGCAAC